CCCCCCCCCAGGATGCAAGCGAAGAGCTCTCCCTGGCCCAGCAGTGCCCCCCACCCCACCCCGTTCCCCGCCCAGGGGGTGGGGTTGCAGGCCGCCCTCCGCCCTTCCGGATGCGGTGTGGCTCCCCTTTCCTTTGGCACCATGGGAGCTCAGGGGGCCGCCGGGCATGAGAACAACGCCCCCGGCGCCCAGGAGAGGGTTCTGGAAAGGTCTCGTCCCGGCCTCTCACCAAGAACTGACCTCCCACCCCCACCCCGAGGCTTCAGTCTCAGCCGTGGCAAACCCAAGAGGCCGGAGGAGCACATCCCTTGCGGGAAAGGGGCCCACGGACCAGGGTGGCGTCCAGGGCAGCAGCCCAACCTGCCCCGCTGTTGGGTGTTACAAGATAAAAACACTCAGTGTACTGTTTCTGTTGTCACAGGAAATCACATGCTTTTGTGTAAGCCAATGCTAGTTTAGAACCGCAAGCCCGGGAAAACTATACCTGATCTAAGAGTTTGATTGGAAGCAAAGTGTCAAACTGTTTTAGCATTTTATGGCTCCTCTTCCCGTCTTTGTTCTGTTCCACAAGAAGCGTGTAAGAGAAGCCATTGCTAGCTCTTCTAGTCTTGTCCTTTGTAGAGTGAGGATGTAGCTGTTTAGCTGTGTTGTTATTTTCCTCCCAGTTACCTTTCCCTATGCTAGATTGTAGTAAAACTTTTCTATTTTAAACACACATGGACTCTGGGTCTGAATTATTTTACTCTGGCATTGCTAGACTAATTTTAACTCTGCTGAATTACAATTTTTAAAAACCCAACAGAAGGTTATGGGCGCCAGACAAGCTTCCAGCTGTGTGCCAGAAATGCCAGAAATAGACCAGAGAAAAGGAACTCATGTGTGCTAGGGGTTTTTACTAAGGCAGGAATTTTTTAATTTTTTAAATGGCATTGGATTTATGGTGTTCAAGCAACGGTCCTGAGTTTTTCTTCAAGAGCCTGTGGGATCACACTGAACGGGTGTGTCCTCAAGCCGGAGAGAATCCTGTGGCGTTTGACCTGAATCATCTTTTTCCCTGTGAACCGAAGCAAGCTCAACAAGCCGGAGCGAAAGAAAGAGGAGGGGGTGAGACCGACCTTGCCGGAGCTGCATGAAAAGCCTCTATCCCGCGCACATCAAAGGATCGTCGGTTTCCTCTCTACACTCTGCAGTTGGCTAAGTATTAAACAAAAGGGAACCATGTCGCTCACAAAAAACTTGCTTTCTTTAATCTCCCAGTTTTGAATTCTCATAACTTTGCATGGTGGAAGAGATCTATAAGGAATGCTTTACAGTCGCATTCCGCGCTTTCTGTGATCGATGGAGAGCCACCTCAAGCAGGGAATGCCCTGACTAAATACCAGGAGAATGATGGTTTTGCCATGTCTCTTATTATGGGCTCTGTAAGTCCCAGGGACAATTTTGAACTGTTAAAATGTACCAGTGAAAAAGAGATGTTGGACAAGCTTGAGAAAACTTATGCCTCGAAGAATGATGCTAATTATGTGTTCCCTCCATCAAAAGCTTTTAAATGCGCGCATGCGAAATGGCCAGTCTATACTTGAGCATTTAAATTTTATAATGGAAACTTACAATGCTCTAAAGGACATACAGGAAGAACCAAATGATAAGGCTTTGATATCAATAATTCTTGGTTCTTTAAACAAGGAGTATGCACACAAGGCAGCTGCTCTCAAGGCATCTCTTAATATAACTTTGGCCCATGTACTAGCTTACTTAAGAGATGAAGGTCACAGAAGGAAAGTCTCTCAAACTACAAGTGACTTGTCTGTGTTAAATATTAAATCTGGTTGTGAAAGGAAGGATGGCAAGAGAGATGTAAAATGTTTTCGATGTGGGAAATTGGGCCACATCGCAAGATATTGCCGGTCAGAGAGTTTGCCTAAATCAAAGGATTTGCAAGAACAAAGGGATCAAAGGCCTCGCGCCAAATCTAACCGCCCTGAGTCTAACCGCTCTGAAACAGGACCCCCTAGGGGGCGTGGCCAAGGAAAGCCAAATGGTCAGACTGAGAGACGGAATGTGTTTGCTGTAACAGAGAAGCAGGAGCAGAGAGCTGATGTTATGAAGCAAGAAAGCAATATGCATGCATTGACTGTCACTGAAGAGTGTGATATGACAGATGAATTATTTCTAATTGATAGTGGGAGTGGTTTTCATGTTGTCAAATCTGAAAAGTGGTTTACTGACTTGGATAGAAACTGCACACCCAGTCTTCAAGGAGCTGAAGGTGAAACCCTCTCAGTTAAGGGATCTGGATCTATCAAACTGTACGCTTTGAACTCTGACAATGAAGTTGTTGAAATTACACTCAAAGATTGTGTTTTAATCCCTAATGCAATAAATAATCTGATATACACAAAGAGAATCATGCAAAATGGTAGTAATGTTGATCTTAGAACAAGCTATGGAAAGATTTGGAGTGAGAATGGATTTAATGTGATGCTGGAAGCAAACAATGGTTTTCATTATCTGAGACATATTGCTGATGCTGATTTTGATGATGATGACAAAGAAGCTGATGGAATGGTCTGCCAAACCAGGTCAGCTGAATGCAATCATAAAGACTGTTTATTTGTCTGGCATGTAAAGTTTGCACATAGGAATGTGAAGAGTGTGCAACAGTTATTGAAGGAATGCAATATTGAGGCAGCAGAGTGTGATGTCATGAGAAATGGCTGTGATGTTTGTCTAAAATCTAAAGGCACAGCTCCCTCTTACAAAAATAGACCTCATGACTCCAACACTAAGCTTCTAGAGTGTGTCTGATTTAGTTGGTCCTATATGTGAATCTGCTGGTGGAAACAGATACTTTGTCAGTTTTCTGGAAGCAAAAACCAGATATGTTTATACCTACCTGCTTAGAAGCAAAGATGAGGTGCTTCACAAGTTTAAATACTATGTATCTGTTGTTAAAAACAAATTTGGCAAAGCGCCAGAAGTGCTATTCACTGATAATGGCACAGAGTACTGCAGCAGTGAGTTCCAAAGATTCATGGAACAGGAAGGAATTGAACATAAGACAACAATTCCTTATTCGCCACAACAAAATGGAACAGCGGAACGCTTAAACAGAACCATACAAGAAATGGCGCGTTCTATGCTAATGCAATCTGGACTTTCAGAGTCTTACTGGGCAGAAGCAGTCCACACTGCCGTCTATCTGCATAACAGAGTTCCATCAAAAGCTACCAATAAAAGTCCTTTTGAATTATGGCATAACAGAATGCCTGGACTTAAACATATAAGAGCCTTTGGATCTAAAGCTTATGCACATATACCAAAGGAGAAAAGGGGCAAGCTTGATCCAAGAGCAGAGACAGGTATCTTAGTCGGGTATGCCTCTGGTGGAAAGGGGTACAGAATCCTAAACCCTGAAACTGGTTCAGTTAAAATACGGAATGTGGTACGTGTAGATGAAAGCAATGTTCTACTGACTTCTAACCTGGCTGAGTCCACAGTGCAACCCACTACACGGGATCCTACAGATGTCTCCTTCTTCGACGTGTTCGCTTGGCAATCTGCGCAGACCACCTGTGAACAGGCAGGTCCATCTCCACGAGAGAGTTCCAGCTTAGAAGGGGAACCTGGAGAAGCTACGCCAAGGGTAAGAGAGACAACCACTGTGAGACAATCAGAGAGGAGTACCAAAGGTGTACCACCATTGATGTATGGAATTTGTGCAAATGTGCAACCAATAAAGGAACCTAATAACTGGAAGGAAGTCAACAGACTACCTGCACCTGAGAGAAGCAAGTGGATAGATGCAATGGAAGAAGAATTTGCATCTTTACAAGACAAAGAGGTATGGACTCTTACTGAATTGCCTCCTGACAGAAAAGCTCAAGGGACATGTATGTTGGACATTTGAATGTCAAATCTACTTTACTCAATGGAGACCTGGATGAGGAAATCTACAAAGCTTGGAACGAGAAACTGACTAATCTGCTACTTAAACAGAACTTTAAACAAGGAATAGCAGAACCTTGCTTGTTCACAAGACTTAAAAATGGAAAGCATCAATACCTACTTGTTTGTGTTAATGATTTGATTGTTTGCTGTCAAAATCAAAGTGATGTACAAGAAATTGCTGATGGACTAAACAAGGAAGTTGAGGTGAAACAGTTAGGAACTGTACAATATTATCTTGGAATACAAATTGAAAGGACTGATGATGGAAGTTTTCTTTTGAGCCAAAAGCAAAAGATCATGGACTTTATTGAATCTGTAGGAATGAAAGATTCTGCAATTGTAAGCACTCCAATGGATAAGGACTATCCCAAGCTTACTGAAGGTAAACCACTAAAAGACAATCATGAGTACAGATCTGCAATTGGAAAATTATTGTATTTGAGCACAATCTGTCGTCCAGACATTACTTCAGCTGTTGGACTTTTGTGCAGAAAGACCAGTTCACCTAATGAGCATGACTGGAAAGCTATCAAGAGAATTGCAAGATACCTGAAAGGAACTTTGGATTACAAACTTAAGATTTCAACCTGTGTTGAACCCAGACTGACTGGATACATGGATGCCAACTGGGACAAAGCCTCACCTGATGGAAAATCTACAAGTGGATACTTGTTCTACTATGGAGACAGTTTAATTACTTGGACTAGTCAAAAGCAAAGCATTGTAGCCATGTCTACTGGAGAAGCTGAATGTGTGTCAGCGCAAACTGCAAGTTATGAACTTTACTGGATCATACATCTATTGAAAGACTTCGGCATAGATGAACCAAAACCAATAATACTTTTTGAGGATAATCAAGCCTGTATTGCTATCTGCAAAGGTGAAGGGACCAAATCTAAGAACAAGACCATCGCGCTCAAATGTCACTACGTGAGAGAGCTGCAAGACCAAAAACTGATTGAACTGCGATACTGTCCTACTGACCAGATGATTGCTGACATCCTGACCAAGCCGCTTGACAAGCAATGTTTTGAGACTCTTCGTGAATGTTTATATTTGCATGACTTTCGTGTTTTAACTTGAGAAGGGGTGTTGGGTGTTACAAGATAAAAACACTCAGTGGATTGTTTGTGTTGTCAAAGGAAATCACATGCTTTTGTATAAGCCAATGCTAGTTTAGAACCGCAAGCCCGGGAAAACTATACCTGATCTAAGAGTTTGATTGGAAGCAAAGTGTCAAACTGTTTTAGCATTTTATGGCTCCTCTTCCCGTCTTTGTTCTGTTCCACAAGAAGCGTGTAAGAGAAGCCATTGCTAGCTCTTCTAGTCTTGTCCTTTGTAGAGTGAGGATGTAGCTGTTTAGCTGTGTTGTTATTTTCCTCCCAGTTACCTTTCCCTATGCTAGATTGTAGTAAAACATTTCTATTTTAAACACACATGGACTCTGGGTCTGAATTATTTTACTCTGGCATTGCTAGGCTAATTTTAACTCTGCTGAATTACAATTTTTAAAAACCCAACACCCGCTGATCTGAGCCAGGTGTCACGGATGCAGCCACACGCAAAAGATTTAACCAGGAATTCAAGGGGCTGCAATCCACGTGTGTAGGAGGTTCTCCCCGTAAAGGGCCTTGGAGAACAGGGTCAGGCTGTGCACGCGCACACTATCTCCCCCCCGCAAATCAAAATGTACAGATGGCAGAGCTGGTGGGAAATTCGGGCCAGGAAAATCTCCTATTTCTCCAAACTGAAACCTTGGGGTGGCAGCTGAAGGACAGAGTCCAGCTGTTTCCGGAGAGTCCGGAGGGTGACAGGAGCAACACAGGTCGCACCCTCTTAGGAAAACAATTAGCGCTCCTGCTGTAGCACAGGCACAGCCGGCCTCCTTCCCCTGGTGCTGTCCGGCTGCTAATGGGGGGGGGGCCTCCTCTCTCTCTCTCTCTCCCCCCCCACCGGGGCAACCGGAGAGCCTTCCCGGCCCCACTCCTGCCCCGGCCTCCAGAGTCAGGCCTGAGTGCTCCTCCCTGGACTGCTGTCTTGTCCCAGAGCCCTGGTTCTCTAACCACCGGCAGGCGGGTGACTCTGGGTGTTCCCCGGGGGGTTCCATCGGTCCCGCCGGCTTCAACGGCTGGTCCAGCAGAGGGCCACAAGCTCAGGGCTGAGTCTTGTTAGTGGTGCTGAGGGCAGAGCAGACTTAATTGTGCTCTAAATATGAATGGTTCTAATCTTAGCCGTATGTTTGCTTTGAGCGGTTTCAAGATGTAACCTAGTTCACTTGGTATCATTCACAGGAATTAATTAGTCTTGTTTAGAGGAGAGTCATGTGTTAAATAAGGGCCATGGTGGCTGAGCTACAGACCAGGAGGTCTGTAGTTTGGTAGTTCGAGACCCGAGTGTGCCGCGTGACGGAGGGAGTTCCCGTCTCTGGCCTCAGCTCCTGCCAACCTAGCAGTTCGAAAGCAAGAAATTGCAAGTAGATAAACAGGTACCGCTTTGGTGGGAAGGGAACAGTGTTCCATGCGCATCGGCATTTAGTCATGCCGGCCACATGACCACAGAAGTGTCTTTGGACAGCGCTGGCTCTTTGGCTTGGAAACAGAGATGAGCACCACCTCCTAGAGTCGGATTTGACAGGCTTTTGAGCAAGGGAAACCTTTACCTTTACATGTGTTAAAAGTTTGACAAATTTATTCCTTGTCGCTAGCTGTCACTTTTTCTACAGAAAGTGCCACATGAGGGTCAGATTGTGTTTTTTCTGCCAGTTGCAGTCTGAGGAAACCTTGCACTTGCCCGACTTCCCTTCATTTTAGAGAATATTGAGGATTATGCATTTAGTTTGAGTTTAAGGAATGATAGGAGATCTGATTTTTATTGCATAGGGTTGATTTGCACCTGCCTCTCTTCGTTACGTTCTTGCCTAATAGAGTTATGCTTTATCTTACATAAAACCATTAACTGATCTGCCATCTGACCAATAATGTTTCCTTGTGCTGCAAGAGAAAGACGTCTCTCTCAGACACTTCGTCTTAGCCGACCTGGCTGGAGTACTCGGTGCTTTATGGAGCCCGAAGAAGACTCTGAATCCCGCACCGGCCTGCAGCAGGGACTGACCGGCCACCATTTATTCATTGACGTTATGCCCGCCTCGCCCACAGAGCCTCAAGGCAGAGCCAAGATGAAAACGAGAAGAAATGTGACAGGAGGTGGAAACCATTTTGGGCCCTGGGACTCTGCCTGGTGGGCCAATGACTCCCCCTCCCGGCAGGGCAGGGGGCCGAGGCCAGACCAGTGGTGAGAAGGGAGTGCACGGGGGGGGGGAGTGAGTCAGCCAGCCCCCCCCCCCAACCCACACACACAAGGAGACACCCAGCCCACCGAAGACCTGTCCAGGGGAGGCAACCAGCCCACCCGAGCCCCGTGGGGGGCTTGGAAATAGGTGGCTGGACTGGCAGGCAGCCCTGTTGCTTCCGCCTGCCCTCCCTCCCTCCTTCCCTCCCTCCCTCGGGCGGTGGGGCCCTTCTCCATCCCAGCCCGCCCAGATTTCTAAATCAGGTGCAAATACAGAAACTCCTTTGCTCCCTCTCCTCCTCCCGCCTCGGCTTACTTGTCACTCCAGGGCCCGTCCCACTCCACCTGGCCCCAGGGGTTCCGCAGGCGAATCAGCTGCAGCTTCTTGGTCTTGAAGAGTTCCAAGAGGCCCCGCCGAAGGCGGACCGCCTGGACAGCCGTGATGCCGTAGGCGTGGCCTCGGACCAGGCCACAGGAAAGCTGGGATTCGGGCTCTTCTCCGGCCAACGTCTACGTGTCGGGAAGGACAATGGGTCAGAGGCCAGCCTGCCCTTTACTTTAAAGAAAACCACCCCAATTTCCAAGCACCTGTCCCCTCCATCCCTGCGGCCTCCTCGACGCCTTCCCCCCACCACCACCCCCGGCACCTGCTGCCCAAAGCTGGGAGACGGAAACCCGAGGAGCTCCCGGCAGCTGCGGCGGCTTCCCCATGGCTGGGCCCAAATGAGGCTATTGCTGGAGATGGTACCCCCCCCACACACAGGGGAATGGGGAGGCAGACTTCCCAGGGGTTTACACCAGGTCAAGCCCCGGGGGAACTCCTCTCCTGGCGAGCCCCTGCTCACAGCCCTGCCCGAGTCCCCTCTGAGTGTGGAGGATCCATTCCCAGCTGCTGTGGCTAATCGAAAGCCAGGAGGATGCACCACAGAGAGTGTTCGGCTGGGACCCTGAAGACCCAGGTTCAAATCCCCACTCTGCCTACGTTTGATTTCAGAAGACAAGAGTTCCCAAAGATGAGGGGACTAGTCGAGAGGAAGCAGAAACGAGGGCAAAGAGTGCTGAACAGAAGGGCCAGCCCAGGAGGGTGTGCCAGTGCAGCCAAGGAGCAACCTCAGAGTGGTGACGAAGGGCATGGGGGGCTCCTCCCGTGAAGAGTCGGGGGTCTCGCCTGCAGGAGGTGGGGAAAGGAGCAGTGCCGGCCCTGGCCAAAGAAGTGTGCGTCGACACCACGAGAAGAGGCCAGGCGCGGTGGGCTAGAAACGGGCAAGGAATTCTGGCAATATATCCAAGTAGGAGGCCAGTTGGGGGGACGGATGGATGGATGGATGGGGATGGGCTGTCGGGAAACAAAGGAGTGAAAGGGCTGGGCAAGGAAGCCTGCAGGGAAGGCGTGTTTGGCAGGACCCCAAGACACAACAAGGGCTGTCTCCAGGGCGCCTAGAGGACGGAGCCAAACGGAGAAGCCGAGAGACATTTCAACCGGCAAATTCCGCAGGAATGACCCAGCCGTTCACCACCACCACCACCACCCCCCGCACACAGAACTCCTCCCAGTGGACAAGCGGTGCTTCCCTTCCCGGGCCCAGGGTGTGGGGCAGGACCCCACCAGGGGATTCCCACCCCGCAGCTGCTGCCAGGGACTGAAGCCGGCTCCACGGAGCCACGGCCCCTCCCCGTTCAGGCCTCCTCCCATTCACCTGTCTCCTCACCCGGATGGAGCAGCTGATGAGGGCCGCCCGAGAGTGGGCTTTCTTCAGCTGCTCAAAGAGCTGCTTCTGCTTCTCGGGGTCCGTGCCAAGGTCCCCCTCGTCCAAGGCCAGCACCTCCGAGATGCCTCCTGTGAAGTCCACCAGGGCCTCGGCTGTGTTTCCACCCTCCAGCGCCTCATAGCAGCCATTCAGCCTAGGGGAGGAAGGAAAGGGGGTGGGTGCGAGAATCGGCAAGGGAAGGCAGGACACAAAGTCCGAGTGGGATGCTAGGACCCGGCGGCGGCGGCAGCATCCCTGTGGGGTGCCTCCTTGGCGACGAAAGGTGCTGGCTCAGGCCCTGCTTGAGAGTACTTTGATCTGCAATATGAACCCGGGAAGAGCCTTGCTGGGTTTGGCCAGTGCGTCCAGCATCGTATTTTACAGCTGGCAACAAACAGGTCCTCCCCCCCCCAGCTTCACGATGGAGCTATGCAGGGCCTTCTCAGCGGTGGCTCCAGGACAGAGAGCAAAGGCACTGCTAGAGGAAGGCAACATCCACTGCTTCAACAGTTTCAGGTGACTGAAGGACTGAAGCTGAATTGTTCAAGGGGATCTGGTCTGCTACTATCGTGACACAATTTTATTTGAATCTTTAATTCTGTCATCTATCACCATTGTACAGTACATTGTACTGTATGAACAGATCCTCCCTAATGTAGAGGGGTTAGGATGGATTAACCTCCTTCTTTGGAGGTTTCCAAGCAGAGGCTAGATGGCCCCATCTGACGGCAGTGCTGATTCTGTGAACTCAGGTCGGTCACGAGAAGGGAGGGCGGGGAGGGTGGCCCTGGTGCTGAGTTCTCGTGGCCCTTTCTGACACGCACAGGGAAAGGCTGATGGCCACGTTGGGGCCAGGCAGCAATTTTTCTGCAGGCCAGTTTGGGCAGGGATCCTGGAGGATTTTTTTTTTTGGTCATCTTCTGGGCATTGAACAGTGGTCACTGTGGGTGTGGAGGGGGAGGTAGTTATGAGTTCCCTGCACTCTGCAGGGGGCTGGACTAGACCACCCTGGAGGTCCCTTCCAACTCTTCTTCTGTTATTCTATGATTGGTCCCAAGTCAGGACAAGAAGCAGCCCCGTGCATGGCCAGAGGCCTTCTCCAGCACCATCCCTCCACATAAGTCCATCCTCAGAGCTGAGGTGCCGGGCACAAAGGTCAGCCGTGCATCAGACGAGCCCCCCCCCCGGGGGGCTCCCCCCCCTTACTTGGCGTAGGCCTTTTCCAGGAGAGCGCTCCAGAATTCCCGGGGCTCCGCTGAGCGGCAGAAGAGCAGCTTCCCATCCTGGCAGGGCAGCTGGTCGTCCACACAGACCTCCGTCCAGCGCCCCCAGCGCCAGAAGCGGAAACGGAAAATGCCGCCGTACCTCTCTGGCCGACGAGGATCCCAGTCCTGCTCGGGGGGGTTTGGGATCACCTGGAGAGGAGGAAGGCAAGAGGAGCGGCGGCTCAACGGAGGGGCACTGCCCGTCACAAAGGCACACCGCCACCCCCGCACTTCCCCGCTGGGGGCAAAGAAGGCCCGTAGCCAGGATTTTGTAATTCGGGGGGGGGGGGCTTTAAATAAGCCAGGGGGCACGGATGTCACAACATTAAAAAATACAATTGAAATAATATTTTAAAAACCACTTTTGCAGCACTCTCACTCTGCCCGCCTACACGGGGAAGCAAGCCACGCTTGGGGAAGGGGCGGTGCTGGGGAGCCCTCCGGGCGGCCCAGGGAGCCAGGGGGCCTGGATGGAAGTTGTGGGGCCTTGGCAGGAAGTCAGGGGGGGGAGCCCCACTGTAGATATTGGCCTGATTCCATGTATCCCCATGCAGTTGCCAAATGTCCTGTATAGCATCTATGGCAGCTTCCCCCCCCCAAAAAAATAATAATTCAGGAATGCCCCCTCCCAGGGGAGGCCCTTCAGGGGTCTGCCAGGTGCCCAGAGCCAGCGGGGAAGTGGGGTTTTTTCCCTTCTCCTCCTCCTCCTCCAGAGGGGGCGGGGCTCTTCACGCTACCTTCTTCCAGAGGGCGGGGTCTCCGGCCAGGCAGGAGGCAGCGGCCACGAACCAGCAGTTCCCGAGGCGCCCCTGGTGGAGGTCCCCGGGGCCGATGCCATCCACAAAGAGCCGGGGGTTGGAGCACAGTTCCTGCGGAGGGCAGGGGGAGGGGTCTGGCTGAGCGGAGACACCCCCCCACCCACCCACCCCATGCCCGGGCTAGGGACAGTGTTGTTTTGAGGTGCCTCCCCGTGGGTCAGGGCCGAGAGGAGGCGGTGGGGTGGGGTGGGCAGGTCTTCCTCACTCCGCTTCAGCCGGGGCAGATGCTGTTTCCCTAACGGGAGCCGGATCTGCAGGGCAGGAAAAGCCCCTGGGAGTTGTGGGTGGCCAGCGAGAGAGTCTGCGGGGCTCTTCCCAGAGAAGGCTCCACCGGCCGGGTCTCCTGGATGCTGGCCAGGAAAAGCCCCCTCCGAAAGCACTGTCGAGGGGAGGCCGCCCCGTCCCTCTCCTCGCCTTCTCCCGGATGCTCTGCCGCTGAGCCACCAGAGGCCCACACTCCGCTCTCCCTCACCCACCTGGGGACAAAGGCCGCGTTGCCCGGGGGGGGGGGGGGGCCATGCAGCAGCTTGTTTGGGGGGCCTGCCCTGCCAGGGGCCCTCCCTTTACCCCAGGCCGCTTCCAGGAGAGCCCATCCGGGGGAGCTCGATGGTAGAAGAGAGAGGAGCGGGCAGCCGGGAACTCGGGATCCTCGAAGAGGCTTTGCTGGCGAAGGCAGGCCCGCTTCAGGTGCCTGTACTGCTGGCCCCGGAAGGGATCTGGCTTGGATGGCATGGCCGGGAGGAGGCGGTGGCGGCGCGTCCAGGGCCGGGCAGGGCGGATGGTGGGGCCAGGGTGCCTGGATCAGAACTGCGGGGGAGGGGGGACGGAGGAGAGCGTGATGGGAAACCACCTTTGACTTGGCAGGAAAAGATGGCTGGACTTGGGAACTTCCGGGGCCCTCCGGCTGGAAACATTCCCAGCTCAGCCCAAGGAAGCCTCCTCCAGAACAACCGCTTTGCCTGCTGCTCAGCCGCACATCAGCCGGAGGGAGGGAGGGAGGGAGGGAGGGAGGCTGGCGCCCCCCAGCTGCCCCCCGTCTCCAAAGCTCAGGAGGGCCCACCACGAATCCCCGAGGCTGCCCTCTCAAAGGTGGCCGCCCTCTGACTCCTCTCCCTGGCCAGCCGGTCTCCATGGTCCGGGGCCCAGGTCCTCATCCCTACCCCGCTGGGGATGGAGCTTCTTCAGGCAAGCCAGGCGCTTCTCTCTCTCTCACACACACACACACACACACACGCACTCTGCCGCTCCACAAGATGCCCTCCGAACTGTCTCATTTCCTGCTTCCCTTCAAGAGCGAGAGATCAGCCGTTTTCTTTGCACAACCACCCTGTGAGGCAGTGCAGCCCAGACGGAATGATTGGCCCAGAGTCACCCTGCGGGCCTTGGGGCTGAGTGGGGATTTGCACTTGGGGGTTCCACCACCCCATCCCACTCCCGTGCTCCAAGGCCTCCAGCCGGCTGGCTGTGATTGTGAGCTCACACCCGCTGCCTCACAATGCCTTGGACCGCCTCCTCGCAGGCTGCCCACTCCTCACCTGAGTGCCAAAGAGCCGCCACCAGTCACCAGTCCGCCCGCCCCATGCTTTTGCAGCAGGAGGAGGCGGCGGCCTGCCAGGAGGCGGGGGACCGGGTGGTCCGGATCCTGGCCGGGATGGTCCTTCTGTGCATTGCCTCCAACGCCCTCTCTCTGGTGCTGCTGGACAGCTCCCTCCCTCCCTCCCTCCCTCCCTCCCTCCCGGCCCGCCCCAATCTCCACTCACCCAGCAGGGGGGCGACTCCCCCCAGGAACAGCAGCCCCTCGAGGGCGCCCATCTTCTACCATCTGAGCTCTGAGCAGGAGCAGGAGAGAGAGCTGTGAGAGAGGTGAGTGGGTTTCTTTTACTTGCTTTCAGCTGAGAGAATTCAGCTAAGGATATTTTGTGGGAAAACTGTGTTCAGCAGTGTGTGGAAGCACTTAGAGTTCTTGCAGAGTCCTGGCTGATTGAGTGTGGGAGAGGAACGGGCACTGTTTGACTGGGATTGCCTGTAATTGAGAGGAAGTGGAAGGGGCATTGTTTTGCCTGTGATTGAGTGCCTGGGTGAATTTGAATTTGAATAGCTGCTGCCTGACCTCTGCTGGGGGAGGCCTCTATTTAAGGAAACAC